GTAGGGATATTTTGGAGTTGCAGTGTGTGGATTTTTCTGAGCTAGTGGCTCCTTTTTTAAGATTCCACATCGCAAGCTCTCTGCTCACATCTCGGGGGCCTCTGCAGCCCAAGCCCTTCACCGAATGCTCATGCTGGAGCTTGTCGAAAGGATCCCTGTAGGATCCCAGAAAAGACTTCTAAGTCTGAGGGTTTAGGGTTCCATTATCGCCCCAATGTCAGCATCACATGGCTGATAGAGGCAGTTCTGCCCCAGCATGAGTCCCTTCAATTCTGCGAAATACAGCAGTTGGAGTATGTTCTCGAACCCTAAACGCCCTAACCCTCTTAACACCTAAGCCCTCTAACCCCTCCTAACAAGATTTACCTTCTTCTTCAGCAACATCATCTTCTTGTTGGGGGATTGAGAAGAAAACGAGTTGTAGGGTGAGGGGTTTAGGGTGGATGGTTTTAGGTTGCTGGGGAGTTAGGGTAAAAGGGTCTTCGGTTTTATGGCTCAGGTCAGGGGTTGGGAGTTTTAGTGTTCTAGGGTCTAAGGATTTAGGTGTTTGCGGCTTAACTTTTTCGGGTACTGGCTGGAACGGTGAAACTACGCGTTGCTCTACAAGGAAACCAGAGCTAGGATCAATCTGCGGGATGGTGTTGTTATTGGTGCCTGCTGGACTTAGGTGAGTGATAGCAGTATACCACACTCATTGATATGAACCGTAAGAAAGAAGCATCGTCAGAATGTGATGGCTGTGCGCTTGATGGAGAATTCTTGTACCACCCCTGAGTCTCTTGAATACTGGGAGAATATAACCTGGACCCCAAAACTATGTGAAATAATGACCTTTATGGCTGTTATCATGGGTTTGGATCTTTTTTGCATACCTTGGGGTTTAGGAAAGCTTTAGGGACCCAAGAAACACTTTCAAAACAGCAGTCTTGCCTGTTGAGCTCAGGCCTTTAGGGCTTCGGGCCTAAGGTTTAGGGTTGAGTGGTTTAGGGTTTAGGGTTGAGTAGTTTAGAATTTGGTTTAGGGCTGAGTGGTTTAGGGTTTAAGGTTGAGTGGTTTCGGGTTGAGTGGTTTAGGGTTTAAGGTTTAGGGGTTTCGGAGCTTCGACAGAAGTAGAATTAGAAGCCTGAGCCAATGAGGAAGACCGCCCTCTCGGAACCTTTGTATAAGCTGGGTTGCTGTTAAGACTCAAATTAGGTTTCGATAATGGGTAATTATAGTACTTAATATGCCTTCCCCAATATAGTAACTTAGATTAAGTTCCTTGACAGCAACCTTGTAAGCAGAGTACAACAACTCCAGAAAGAGGTTGCGCAGAAACCCCGAACCTGGATCAATGTTAGGGCTCCTTGATGGTTTTTGGGTGTGGGTTCCCTGTATTTATGTAAAGAGGCTCCTTTTTTCTTCCTGTTCCTTAGCCCACATTGCCCTTATGTGAGAGTGCGGAGTGGTTGCGGGCATCACGTTTTGAATCAACCCTAAACCCCCTAAACCCTAAACCAAGGGTTCAGAAGTAAGGGTTGAGGCTTTGCAGGGAGAGCAGAGTGTAGCGGGTGAGGGGGTGAAATGTGAGGGGTGTGAGGTGGTAGGTATGGATCAGGGATTTGGGAAAAGTTGTCAAGGTTTGGGACTGTTGTAGGACCCTTGCGGCATCAAAAGATTGGCCTAGAGCCTCATCAAGGACTAGATTGTCGTACTTACTCCCGACCCCCGAGACAGAAGTGGTCATCTTGAGGAAGATTCTCCTGCGCTTGCCCAAACGCCCGCAGCACCTTGGACATGGCTGCAGAAGCCAAATTGGGAGTCGGTACAAAAGGATTTAGAGGTTGAGATCTTGGGGGTCCAAGCCCATTTTGCGAACACCCCAGACCAGATCCTTGTGTGGGCCTTTTCCAGAAGCAGGGTTTGATGTTATTGCGGTTAAACATAAAGCTCTTGTGCCTTTGATGACGGAATGAAACAGAGAGTACAGTTCGGAGAACCTAGGCCCCAGACCCAAAAACTATAATCCCAGAAGCCCAAAAATCAGTAACTTACTGGTGGCTAGTAGGGAATAAATTTAAAGGGATACAATCCCTATATAATCCTTACAGAATGTATTCCTTCATTCCCTACAAACCACCAGTAAGTAAAACTATACTACTTAACCCCTATATGACGCTAGCTTTCACTTTTCCATGTTCTTTTCCATTTGATTCTCCCTAAACCCTGCGACGACCCAGTTGGCTAGGCCTTCTACATCTTACTTAACACATTTCGCGCAGGCATACTTAGCCTTACGGCTTCAAGTTCTCAAATCGTATCCGTTTATTGCCAACTAGGGTTTGTAAGCAGGTGTTCTTGCCCAACTCATATGCTGTTTTCATACTTGGAACCTCGGGGTACGGTTTGAGGCTTAAGGCTCTAGGGTGTAATTATGGTTCAGGGTTGCTTGGGGTGGGCCGAGTGAAGGTGTCAGGGGCTGGGTTCAGGGTCTCAGGGTTACAAACCCTAAGCGCTAAACCCCAGGGTTATGAATCCGAATTCAAGACCTGGTTGACCGGTAGTAGGCGCTACGACGTGTTCATGAGCAGGACTATTACCTGGATTCTTCTCTTCAGGACCACATGACACGGCAGTTTCCCAAAATGGGGGAACCCCAATATAGACCCAATATGCTTCCTTATTATAAGGACTCCCAAAAAGGTACCCCTGATTTTGGGAAACTCCGACATCTCCAGTGTTGTTCTGAATAAAAGCCACCAACTGAAAGGGCAGCCAGGCAGCAGCTGGCGAACTAAGTTTCTTCGAACATTGAAGCCGCATAAACTACAGTCTAAACTCCTCAAGGGGGGTTATACAGGAAATTCTATAGGCGAGTGTTATAGGGTTGTGAAGCGGGATTAGCTCACATCAGTATCTACCCTTACAACACAAATGTCCTGAACATCTGAACGGTAGGCGGCAGTGTGACTGTTTTTTCACGACCCACTACGTCCCAAATGCCTTAATGCCGTCAACCATTTCCTCGCCCTGACCCCGCGCCCCCTTCCTCGGCGTGTAGACAGGAAAAAGGCACGCTGCAGGTGCTTTTTTCACCTCACCCTACCCTCAACCCCCCCCACCCTAATGTAGTACTACCATGTGTCGGAGAAATATTCAGTATCAGGGGGGGAGCTACTATTAGGTGGAGGCGGTTTACTAGATCCATGTCAGTGATGAGAGTTGAGGGTGTAGGAATAGCATTGTGACCAATCCCCATCTACACTCCCATCCATCCCTGCCGGGATTAATGTTGATCAGCTCCACTGGATTTGTAAATTTGAACCACTCATGAGAAAAAGGCGTGCTAGTTTTCTAGTTGTATTCAAGCAAAAGCTCGAACCCGACATCGTCTCTGAAAATGCCGCCTGTGTGCCAGTACGCCAGCCAACAGGCAATTCGCAATCACAGGATTTTCTACACGTTCCTCCAAACAGGACTTCAAACTTTGCCTCGAGGACTAACTCGAAAGAAGCCATTGAACAAAGCTGAGTAAACATGATCGCAACGACCCATAAGACGAGACGTTCCTTTTCCCAAGCTGGACAAGCTGGACAGGTGTATATAAGCTTGATAGCATGGCGCAACATGGTACCTCGAGTACATTGACAAATCATTCTTAGGTCCCATTTGTCCTGTACCCTGAGCTAGCCTCTCTCCCCAGATCTCGACCTTGAAAATTTGTACTTAGCTGGCGCAACATGGTGCTTCGAGTACATGGGCAAATCATTCTTAGGTCCCATTTGTCCTGTACCCTGAGCTAGCCTCTCTCCCCAGATCTCGACCTTGAAAATTTGTACTTAGCTGGCGCAACATGGTGCTTCGAGTACATGGGCAAATCAATTCTTAGGTCCCATTTGTCCTGTACCCTGAGCTAGCCTCCTCTCCCCAGATCTCGACAGTGTAAATTTTAGTTTGCCCCTAACTTCACAGAGCCTAGCCCTCGCTTAAACACCTCAAGTTCATTGATGGACCCTGGACTTCTGTCCTACTTCAAGAAACCTCAGCTTAACCCCCGGACACAAAACCCTGAACCCTAAATCCGTGAACCTCAACCTTAACAATATCCTGTTCATGAAGCCCAAGATGAAAAAATCCTAAGCCTCGGCTGGCAACCGCTATTCTGTTCAGACAGCACGAAAGCCACAACCTCAGCCTCAGCCCCTATAGTCAGTCCCCCTTAAGTAGATAGAATATGGCTTTGGGTATATTATAATAAAATCCCCATATACCCCACATTCTATCTACTCAAGGGGGACTATAACTCTAAATCCTAAACTCTAAACCCTAGGTGTTTTGGCTTCCAGGTCTGTGTAGTTTCCCTTAGTGGTCCGCATTCCTGAGCCATATACCCCAGCGGTGGCCCTTATTTGGGCCCTGGAATTGCTCCGCTGCCTACGGGAAGTGCGTTGAGCTTCACTACTTACTGCACCTATCTGGAGTGGTGCCCAGGTTTTCGCGGGGCCTAGCTGCTGTTCGATCAGCCTACGCTTTCGCCAGTGGCCATTCGCATGGTACGCGTTTGGACCTTCTTTTTGATCGGCTTCTTCTGCCTTGCCCTCTACCACGACAAGGCCGACTTCGCACAAGCCCCTCGTGGGTTTGAAGGAACCCGCTTGGCACAGGAATTCTCGAAGGGCCCGTACGCGAAGCCGTACCCACCTTCGCAATATCCTGTCAGGACTCGAAGCTCCCTCCCAGCGAACGGCTGTGGCGGTGAGGCGACTCGAGGCACACCACTCTGCATCTACTCTGCCAAGGGCAGTGAGGCTCAGCTTGGGTACAGCAGCAGATATGGCGACCCAGGGAGCGAAGCATTCCTGGTGCAACAACTGCTATGCAAATCGCCCCAACAGAGCAGCTTTCTGTCCTGTGTGTGGAGGCGCTCTGCAGACTTATACAACTACACCTGGACAACAGAATTGGGCGCAACCCCCTCGCAGACAGCAGTCGCCCAGAGCTCGGCGCCAGTCTTCACCAAGGCAACGGGGAGGTGGCGTGGACAAGAGCGACAATGGACCAGGTGCTGGAAAAGGCAAAGCACAGCAGATCTCCGGCAACAAGGGCAAGGGCAAAGGCATTCCACCCAAGATTGCGGATCTTCCGCAACCAGCATTGGCACCCAACATACAGGTGCCCAAGACTGGCAGTGGTTCGACCGCGGAGGCCTCGGAGGAAGGCGAGCTGTTGGGTGCCCTTCTCGCCCACTTGGGCGATCCTACAGCCTTGCCGACAGCCCTTGCGGAGAGAGTGCAGACTTTCCAGAGTGCCAATGCAAGATCAACGGGCAAGCTCCTGCACAAGCAAGTCGCGCGCCAGACCGAAGCGCGGACGCAACTGCAGCGGCTCGCAAAAGACAGACAGGCCTTCCTAGAAGGGGGGGGGCTGAGTATTTACAAGTGCTTACGGAGACAGTCGACCAGCAGGTGTCGAAGATGTCCAAAGTACTGGAGGACTTCGACAACGCGGAAAGTCAATGGCAGGCGCAATTGACGGACGCTACAGAGCTGCTGTCGAAAGCCTCTGGGCACTCAACCGCTCCGAGGAGCGCAGATGCGATGGATGCAGAGGAGGCGGCCGTGGCCCAGACTGCGGCGGAGGACTCTCGCTCCAGGCAGCAGACAGAGAAGATACAACAGGTCCAGAAAGAGCTCATAGAGGCTCTAAACAAGGCCAAGGCGGCCGCGGAAGTACACCGAGATGGCTCGCGAACGCCACGCCGCAAGCCCAAGGAGGAAGAAATTGTCGACTTGGAGCGGCGCCCTCAATAGCTCCATCATCATGCGCGGACTGCGATCTTGATGGAGCGAGTACGGCTCGGGTGATGGGATTCCTCCTCGAGCACTCTGTAGCCTAGTCCTGATCCACGGCCTACCCGTGTTGGAGTACCTAAGTCCTTTGCTCCTAGGCCACCTGTCCCCCCCATCCCTGAGTCGGCTTCTGTCCACGTTACATCGGAGCCAGCTGTTGGCTCCTCTGCCGCAGAAAGTGACCGCGCAGGCGTGGCTCTTGATGCAGAGGGGCCACATCATCGCCTCTTCACTGTTTTCGATGCCATGCGGCATGTGTCTCAGGACGAGGTTTTCGGTGATCGCTCTGATGTGGTCTGTCCGGCCGTTGAGATCTTGCCTCTCCCTGTTCCTCAATTTGTGCTTCTGAGGCCGGGCACCCTGTGTACTATCATTGTTGATGCTCGGTCCGTTGGATCGGGGCTTTTCACTTTGGAAACTCCCTTCACTGCCTCCTTTGAGGAGTTGATTGAACGGGCGTCACTCTTCTTGGGCAATGTGTTCGAGACGGCTCAGAGACAAGAAGGCATGCAATGTTTTTTCAATGAGGTGCCTTGGGCTCTTCCCCTTAAGAGACAGTTAGCTAATGGGGATGTTTTCAGTTGCCGCCCTGCACTAGAGGGCCCAGGCCTCCCGCTTTTGGGCCCAGGTGGCAACCGCCATACGTTACAGCGTAGATGCGAGGCTCCCTACTTTGAGGTTCTGCGTGCAGTTGAGCTGGGATCGCAAACACTCACTCTCAGTTCGGGGACCGTATGCTGGAAGATGTCCTTGCTGAACTTGTCTACCGGCGACATCAACTCGGGTCTGTGCCGGAAGGACTCTGTATGCAGCTGTGTCAGGTCCAACCTGCCCCCTCCCAGGGACGTCGTGAGCTTATTGTCCTGCTCTTTTGCAAAGCCACGGATGGGACCTTTCCAATTGTTTGTGATGGGAGAGATGTCGGCGGGCACATTTGGGTCGCTGCGCTTGATGCGGCGGTCCCCTTTGGTGCTCTGGCAGAATCTGGTTGTGTGCCTTTTCTGGATGGCCTGCCTTGTCCTGCATCTCCTCAGCTCTATCCAGGGGCGATGGTTACTCTCCGATCTGCGCATTCTGAAGGCCGACCCAACATGATGCCCGTGTCAGCCTGGTGGACGGTGCACCCCTTCTCTGCCCTCATCGCCTCCTGTGCCTTTCCCAGCTGTTGCGCCTGGAAGCCTAGGTTTTCATAACGCTGCTATCCGCGAGGCATTTAATGCCCTGCTGGATGTTATAATTGCCAGAGGTTTTGCCCTGTTTGAGGGTAGGGTTGCAATTTTTGGGCCAGGAAGCTCGCTTGTTTTCGCGGCTGGCCAGGAGGAGCCTACTGCGGAGCGCATTGCCAATGATCTGAGAGTGTATCTCCTTCGCACCTTTGGGCCTGGTCAGGTTGTGTTTACACGACTTCATCTTGCCAACTGCGCTCTGTTTGTTTACAGGCCTGCCTCCTTGCGGAGTGAGCTGTCGCTTTGTCTTCACAGCCTCGGAGGGGGATATGTCCTGAGGGTTGTTCCTACTGCCGATCTCCGCGCAATCCAGGAACCCATCTTCCTCTTCCCAGGAATTAATACCCCGGTCGCACATGTTCAGGAAGCTAATCCTGCAGGTGAGCCCACATTAGAGGCTGAGCAGGTAACCCAGCCTGCTGGGTCCTTCCCCTCTACTCTGCCTGGCAGGGAAGGTGGTGATACGCCAATGGCCAGTGGGTCTTCTCGTCCGGATACAAGGTCGGGCACTTCACTTGCTCAGGCTTTGGACGTAGGACGCCTAGGTTGCCTTCTCCTAGGTGCAGGTTGCCGCATCATCCAGCTGTATGTAAGTCCTCTCTTGATGCAGAGCCTTATGATGCGTATGCCACCTGGGCCCTAGGCGATCCCAGAGGTTCTGCTTCCTCCTCTGAAGATAGCCGGCGGTCTTCTACCCTCAGCCTGCAAGATGTACCGCAATACCCAATGGCAGATGTTCGCATTGCGGATGCCAGGCTCGTGGTTGGAAACGGCGTGCCGGGGCCGGTACCTTTCACCATCTTTGATGTGGTACGCACAAATGCGTCTGACTCTTATGACCCACGATCGGGAGTGCAGGACGCTGTTGGCAGGGCCATTGCCAATGCGCCCTTTGCTCCTGTAGCTTGGCATTTTCCTGCCCTTGAGGTTGCTCCATTTCCTGGTCCACAGGTCTTGCTTTGCAGGTACTTCGAACCGAGGACCGTGATTGTAGATCTCCGGGACTGCTCACTTGAATCCATGTCCTGGAGATTGACCATGCCGTTGACTCTTTGGGATTGCTTGGCCACGAGCTCCAGACACAGCTTGGTCCTCGTGTGCGGAGCAGAGCCGTGCAGGCTACTCTTAATGGTGGTGCATGGAATTTTGGTTTTACCAGATGGCTTCGCAGTGGGGATGTAGTTGTATGGTGCCCCATTCCCGCTTCTGCCATACTTGTGCCGCAAGGTCTCCGGGTGCCCCGGACCATTGCACGGACTTTGCACGATGTATACCCCCTTTTCTCTACGCTGACTCTCTCCAGCAGCGGCCGGTCCACAACTACTGTGCTGCTGGATTCCTACAACCTTGCAACTGCCTTGGATGCTGCGCGCGCGCCATATTCTGCAGCCGCATGTTCAAATGGCGGCTGGGCAGCTTGATCGCGTTGTCTGTAGCAGAGTTCAGCCTCAGCCAGATGGCAAAAGGCTTACTGTGCATTGATCTGTGCGATCGCCTACAATACTCTTGGATTTGCGGGCGCTTGGAGGAGCCTTTGGTGCAGTGGTGTCCAATGCACTCCTCCGTCTGGACCAGATTCTCACGGGCATCCAGTGTTACGTGAGTGGTGTCCTGCGCCGGCGCCCGACTCCTGTCTTTAATGGGGATCTGGTCGTCTTTGTTCCAACGGGCAGTCGCCCAGCGCCCACCGTTGCGACTCACACTCTCTGGCCGCTCTTCCAGGCACTGAACTTCATCTCTGCCCCATGCCCAGTTCCTCGGGCCACCCTTGCAGAAGCACTGGCTGGGCCTACTGTTGGTGTTGTCGCCTGGGGGCGGCATTTGCGTGAGAAAGCCAGTGCAGAAACAGAAGGCGGGCACTCTGAATTTCTGGTTTTTACTCCTGTCTTCAGGCCCGACGCCCTTGACATTCGGTTGACTATTGCCATTCGGCAGGATAGAGGATCGTTGCTCGCCATGGTGCTTTCTCGGCCAGAATATATGGCGTCAGGGGAATTTTTTGCGGCTTCTCACAGTGTGTCTGCTGAGGAGCAAGCACACATAGACCCCGGCCTTGCTCCAGTGCTCTGGCCTGATGCGAGCGGCTCTTTGGATTTCTACAATGAACACGACGAGCCGTCCGAGGAGCCAGCCTCGGGTAGCCGGGAACACCCTGTCACCTCCCCCATTATCCTGCTACCATTGTCGGATATGGAGGCTATGATGCTCTTGGAGGAAACGGTTCTACCGGTAGTGATGAAGCGGAGGATGAGGTTGATGCAGATGCTGAGGCCTCCGAGCCGGAGCCTGGCCCTGAGGAGCCGGACTGCCGCTGATCTTGGCGTGACTGCCAGCTCTGTCGCCTTTGCTGATGCTGAGCTAGTTCCTCGTAAAGAAGAGCAGGGCGCAACCTCCCTTCTGCAGACCCGTGCCTTCCGGTCCCGTACCACTACTAGTGTACCTACCCCTTTTGGCAGGCGGAGGCTTACGCACGGTCCCGAGCCTCCTCCTTCCCAAGCCTCCTCCTTCCGGCCTCCTTTCTGCCTGCCGGGTGTCGACCTGCCGGACAGATGGTGCTGAGGGAGCCGATGACGACTCTGCAGCCACTGAGCATGCTGTGCCGGTTCTTCCTCCTGATTCACCGGAGATTGTTGGACTCATTGCGGGCCTTGCTGGTGAGTGGGAAAGCTTTCTGCGCTGCGACGCAGAGGCTCTGCCGTGCCTTTCAGCCGCCCAAAGGAGAGCCTGTGCATGCTACCCGTCAGAGGGCTTTGTGGTTGCCAGACATGTTTTTGTTGATGGTGCCTTTTACAAAGGTCGTGACAGACATAGGGGCGGCTGGGCTGCAGTCGTAGTGGCAGAATGGTGTACGCCCCCAAGGCATTGTTTTTGCCTTTGATGGCTACGCTGGAGGCCCCCTTATTGATCTCGCCAGGCGACCACTGCAGGCTGAATATTCAAGCTACGATGCAGAAGCCGCTGCTATGCTAGTGGTACTTACCTGGCACCTTGCTCAACCCTGTGCCCTCCTGACTGCCGTGCATTTCGATGCCAATGCGGGGCCAGGCAGCTGAAGGTCTCGTTGCGCCACGAGACCCTGGTGAGGGCCTTGGACTAGCGGACTAGCGGGCCGCGCTCGCTGTGTAGCCCAACTGCTTGAAGCTCAGGGACGCGCCCCCAAATACTCTTGGGTCAAAGGGAATGCTGGCATCATATGGAACGAGGTTGCGGACAGAATTGCCAAAGCTTTTGCAATGGAGACACTCCCTGTCCTGCCGGAACCCTTTTGGACTTTTGTCGCCTCTCGTTCCTTGCCATGGGCTTGGCTTGTCGCCGACCGGTCCGGTGCCTTTCCTGACGTTGAGCAATTTTGTAAGGGGACTTATGAGAGTCCTGACCCGGTCCCCCCTGCCTGTGTACCGGCCGACCCCGAGCGGCTCACTGACAGATCCAACGGCGACCTTGGCCTGTCACTTATGTCCCTTAATGTTCAGACTCTACAGGACAAGCGGTCCATTGTCCTGCAGCAGCTTCAGGACAAGTGTACGCTGCTGTGTGGATTGCAGGAAACTCGCGGCCGCTGCGACTCTCAGGGCAGTAGTGGGGGTTTTCTGGAATTTGCCTCTGCTGCTCAGGCTGGTGAAGGAGGCTGTGCCTTGTTTATTTCCACTACAGTGCCTTATGTCAGAATTGGGGACCGTCCTCTTTGTTTGGCGCCACAGCACTGTCGATGTGTACACGCT